GTACACAAGAGTCACAACTCAAAAGATAAAAGTGTGTCAAAGATGGGTGAGCGAGTTTAAACAAAAGTTCAAGGGTACATTGTGCACTACAGATGTTTGTTCATTGTTCACCAATGTACCACTAGTAGACACTATCTGCTATCTGTGCGAGTTTATTGATTTAAATAGCATGAACGTTGGCCTACCAACTGAATACCTTAAACAACTATTATTGAGATGCACACTGAATGTGCAATTTGGATTTAATGATGTCGTCTACAATCAACAGTTGGCTGTACCTTCGAAATTGGTGACATTTTTGCACGTGTTTGCTCTGAAATTTATTTACTGCTTATTGTCATATAATCCATGAAATTATGGTCCAAATCTCTAAAAAACGTGTTCATAGAAACGCAATTGTTTTAGATAACGGCTGCGTTACCTCCCGGTAATACAGTATCAACTACTAGCTCTCAAAATGGTTTTAGTGCAGATCTCACTCCTGTGGTGAAGGGTGTTCTGCTACAGAACTCTGATTTCTGCAAATTAAACCTCCTTTTGAAAGCCCTTCCGGGAGCTTAGGTCCCGATTATGTACCTAGTATTATTTTTAAAAAATGTTCTGATAATCTGTGTCACCCTCTTACTGATCTATTTAACAAATCTTTTTCCGATAATATTGTGCCTGCCGTTTGGAAGGACATTAAAGTTGTACCCATACCTGAATCTTCTACTGGAGCATGTGTCAAATTTAGACCCATTGCTATTATGTCTCCTTTTTTGAAAACTATGGAGAAATTACTTTTACTTAGTCTTGAACCTTCGCTTAAATCCTTTAATGACCCTAAACAATTTGCCTATAAGCACAGTAGAAGCACTTTAGATGCAGCTGCCGTCTTATATCATAACATTGCTTCCAGTCTAGACAAGGGGGCTAAATTTGTTCGTTGCGCCTTCCTAGACTATACATCTGGTTTCGACTCGGTCTCTAGAGACATCTTATTGAATAAACTTGCTGCTAGTCAAACAGAATGTTGGGCTGTTAACTGGTTGCATTCCTATTTCTCAGATAGAAAGCAGTACACCGTATATAAAGGGAAGTCCTCCACTTCATTGCCTACTGAAGCTGGTGTCCCTCAAGGTGCTGTTCTTTCTCTTTTTCTTTTTTCTTTCTTCTTGCACGACTTGCCTCACTCTGATGAAATAAACTTTGTGAAGTATGCTGATGATTTAACGGTTTTAACGGCTGTTAACTCCCAGCTAGATTGTACTAAAATAAATAGCTTTCTATCGGAAGTCAGCAAATGGTCTGAGTCTAATGGTCTTAAACTGAATCCTTCTAAGTGTCAAACTGTTGATTTCAGCTTAAGATGTAAACGACAGTTAAAAGAAGTCATCGATTCTCATGACACTTGTAAAATTGACGACAATGATATAGGAATCAAATCAGAAATTAAGTATCTTGTACTCATTCTCTCTTCTGATCTCTCCTGGTCTTCCCATGTCTTAGCAATCTCCAGCAAAATATTCCTCTTGACACTTTACATTAAGAAGTTAAGACACTCGGGTATAACTCAACCCCTCATCTTACAGTTCATAAACTCTTGCATCCTACCTATTCTTCTTTATTGCTCACCCTTATTCTTTCCAGGTTTGCTTAAAAAGGACTATGTCACAAATCGTAGAATACTGAAGACTGTCAGTAGGGTGAGTGGTGTCCCAGTGGACCACATAGTTAACGTCGTTGTCGATAGGCACTTGACTTCGTGCAATAAATTTGCTAAAGGGATTTTGTCTGACTTGGAGCATCCGCTTTACCCTCAGCTTTCACCTTGCATCTCCTCAGGTAGAACAAGGAGTAACTTCAGAAAACTGTATGCTCGCACGTCTAAGTATAAGAAGTCTATGATACCATACTTGGCATGTATTTTATGTGATGAAAATAGTGTCAGGAAAGAATTAACTAACCTTCTTTCATCTAGTAAATAAACAATTTCCTCCATCCATCCTTACATACCTTCAAGTTTTACTTCTATTATATTTATGGTCCTGTTAATTCTCTGTTTTACTCTCATAATTGCAAACACCAACTTATCTCCATGACGGCTGTAATCTATGTTTTTTCCTTCACCATATCATGTAGAAAGAACATTATATTCAATATTTTTAAACATGTTAGGATTTCTATACCACATTGCCAATACTGTGTGACACAAGCCAACGGCAATTTTCACTTGTCTTCTTATTATTATTACCCTAGCTGTTATCATTATTATTGCTATTTCCATTTTATATGCTGCATGTTTTTGACACTACCTCTATTGTAAATGTGGAAAGTTTTCTGTGATTAATTTTATTTATAACTTGAGGAAATTAGATGCAATATTGTGATTAATGCTGAAAATTCCATTCTGTATCACAAGTACTGATTTTGGAATAAAGTAAATCATTATTATTATTATATGCAGAGGCAAGTAAGTGAAATTCACAAAAAATTAGATCAGTTTGATAGTATGTCACTGCCAATCTCAAACACCACGTAGATTCGTTCTGATATTGGCCAGGTTAAGTCTTTACTGGATGTAACTCAAAACAAGCTTTCGGATTTAGACCCAATAGCCTTTCTGTCAAAAAGCATTTAAAATGTCTCCAGAAAACCTGAATAAGGCTGAAAATCTGATTGACTGCTTGGCTGCGGAGGTGGTGAAGCGTACACTCTCTTCTCACCAGCTATAGTTTACAACGTCCCAGATTCTCTGACTCTGAAGACTGTGAGACACAAAATCCTGATTTGTTGCGGCATGGCTAGTGTTCCATGTGAATGCAAAAGACTTCGAAAAAGTCTAACCAGGCTAATTGTCCCATCATTTTTAAATTAAGTAATTCCCTTGATGCTAGTGTCAGCCACGTCTCATAAACCGTTAATGCCCAGCTCTCGCTACGCTCGGGCCCACGCTGTTCCTTGAAGTTTTCAGAAACGCTTAGTTATAACGGACGAAAATACCAAAACACCGATCTACCGCTTGAGATTTCTTTATTGTTACACCAACATATAAAAGTAATGTTTTTACTAGGGTCTGTGAACAAATATTACAATAATAAATCATAGTATTACTTCTGACGGTTCGCTACTGACTTCTTTCTGAACAGCGACCGATGAGACGATGACTGTCGTATTGATGCCTCCGCGAAAATTGGGGAAGTTTGTTTTGAGCAAACAACCAAGAATTGATCGTTCAATCTTCAACTACATTGACACTCACCGGCAAAATACGGATCCATCCCTTTTTTCCTTCACGACCAATACACGTTGATTTGGATGCCGTTGCGAGAACCTGGGTCACACGGACAGAGCTGAAATGGAAAACAAACAGATAAGCCAACACACCACAAGCATACCCACAGCACAATCTCACACATCAATGACGACCTGCGCCTCCAGACAGAGACCCCCTCTTGACATCTTGCAACACAATCGCCACTTGCTGGAATGACTCTTGCAGAATGCAACGTGACCATAGGAGCACCTCACAATACTCTACGCACATCCTCTTATCTACTCACCACCAATTACCACTGCAATCGCTTGTCACTCATTCTGCCTCAGTTCTAGTAGTGGTGACACATGCGAGCCTCAGTCGTTTACACTCTTTCTCCCCGGCGTGTCAGACCGCAGCTAACAATTATCTCCGTGTGCATTTCATTCTGAGCAGTAGCCTTGCCTCCCCGGCGTAAACGCCCCATCTGCTGTCTCTAACATCAATCAATTCATTCATGGATGTAGAAGAGTGGACACAACTTCAGAAGTAATCACGACGAAAATTTTAACAAAATTACGCAATAACAACAAGGTACGAAAACAACAAGTAAGCACAATGAATCCAAAATACACCAATTGATATGACACACCACACGTATATGCAAACAGTACAAACAAACTCGCAGATCGTGTCTCCATGTAATTCCCTTGAAGAATCGCAGGGCTAAAACCAGTACGCCTGCAACCCTTCTCAGGTTGACGATTGTAAGTTGTGGAATATCCGGACACAAACAAGATTAACCAACAATTACATCAATTGGAACTCACACAATTATTTAACACAAACATATGTACAATCAACACATCAAATGTTGTGGATTCTGCCTTGACGAGCTACCCTTGAAGAACTGTAGGACTTACAGCAGTACGCCTACATTCCTTCTCAGGTTGATGATCCAAGTGGAAGTCGTCCGGACACAAACAGAATTACCAACAGCTAGATGACAGATGATATCAATTCAGTATATGCAATATGAACATATGTACAAAATCACACACCTAGCACATTGGACTGCTCATTGATGCGCTACCTTTTGGAGAATTGTAGGACTTACAGCAGTACGCCTACAACCCTTCTCAGGTTGACGCCCTAGGTTGGAAAATCGTTGCAGAGTTCATTTGCAAACTTCCTTCTATGAGCTATATCCTCAAATCTGAACGGCAACACGCCCATGTCATTGTATCGTAGAATATAGATGACGAACAAACATACGACGTATCTGGTCAACCAAGTGTAGAAACAGAGTAATTTACACCAAAGATAATAACATTCAAATAGTAACTTGAAACTAGAAATGCCTTTATTCGTGCAAGTCAATTTAACAATTACTCTCTCGTTTACACTTGGTTTATCCTCCCTAAACTGACCATTGATATTCGTCCTTTCAAACAAACTGATACTACCATAGTCATTGCACAAGATACTTGAGTTCATGGGTGTCTGTTTCATTGTGGATGACAGCACCGACGACGACTGATTGATATCAGTTGATGAAGTTATCGGTGGATCAAAAGCTGTTGTCGCTCGACATTCAGAAGTTTGTCTACCTGCAAGACCACCTCCACTGCTGTCTTTTACTATCAGCTCAGGGTTAGCACTAGCATCTGAGGACAGGCGGGCTACATGCTGATCAATCACACTGACGGTCTCACAAATATGCATGCCTTCTGCAACTGCACCTGCATTTATTTCTACTTCACGTTCAAGTTTTTGCAGAACTTTTATTTAACGTAGCGGTTGTAGGCATATCCCTCATCTCATCATTGTCAACCAAAACGTAAACTGCGCTATCATAATCATCACCACAAATATTCAATTTACCGTCAACTTCATCATTTTCAAACTCTTTAATAACAGAAGTAGACAATTTTGGCTCCTCCTCACAAATCATTAAAGGTTTTATATCTTCACTCTGACTAGTAATACCTTGTAAACTTGTAGGGTCAGAACTGCACTCTGAAGCAGCAACTCTCTTCTGTGACACTCTATTCAACAATGGCTTAGTAATTGCAACTACAGACTTCTTCACAACACCGTTATCGTCACACAATTCGGAGTCAGGCCTGGGGTTTACATTTAGCTTATCACTGAACTTGCTTACTGGTTCACAGTTCACCTTTGTATGCACCTCTTGCAAACGTGTGAAACACAACCGTGTTCGTCTTGTATCTTGTAACTTATCTGTTGAGGATGTACTACGAAACCTGTTACACTCACTAGGTCTATATGCATTACTGGACATCATGGTGCCTTCTTGATATCCACCTCTCTGAGACCCTTTCGTCATCAATGATTGCGTTTTACCCTCAGACTGCTCTATTCTAGGGGTGAGATTCAATATACTGGCAAACTTGCTCATCGATTGATTGACACTATCTTTTACTAGTTTCAGGATATCATCAAATTTTGGCTCGATACCCTCTTCCTCCATACGGGAGCTCATCTTCACCCACTTCCTTTGCAGTCGAGTAGGTAGGCGTCTCGCAATTACCTCTAAGACTGAGCTGCAATTGGGGTCACTCATGCAATTCATAGAAATCAAGGTATTCTCATAAGTCATAAGATTATCTGAAAACTCAGTGAGTGCCTGGGAGTCATCCTGTAATTGACCACCATTACTTTTAACAGCCTCGAATAATTTCCCTGCAATCATCGAAGGTCTTCCAAACCTTTGACGTAATATCCTCATAGCCTCATCGTAGCCCTCTTTTGGCTTCATAAACTTACAGCAGTGTATAGCTCTTGAAGCATCTCCAGTGCAATATCTCATCAAATACATTGACTTCAATTCATCACTTAATAAAAAACTACTCAATATGATCTCAAACGCCTTTACAAATTGTAAATAATCAGACGGGTTTCCATCAAAACACCGTGGTTCTAATTCAGGGAGTTTGATGTTCCTATTATCCCTGAACGGCGAAAAAGTAACATCAACCATATCATGTTTAACATCAGACACATCGTTACAATTAACAGACAAGTCACCATGACTTACTTTCCTGTTTGCATCCAAGACGCTCTGTCCCTTCTTTGACCCAGGCATTGTTGAACTTGACCCAATTGCGAAAAAGTTCCAGATATCGCTTGTTTAAAGAGGACTTGACCGGCACCAGGAAAAATGAACGGCGACTATCCAAACTTTCACCAACTGTTTGAATCCGCCAGATCTGTTTCCATCGTCAGAAACTGTCAATCACGTCTCATAAACCGTTAATGCCCAGCTCTCGCTACGCTCGGGCCCACGCTGTTCCTTGAAGTTTTCAGAAACGCTTAGTTATAACGGACGAAAATACCAAAACACCGATCTACCGCTTGAGATTTCTTTATTGTTACACCAACATATAAAAGTAATGTTTTTACTAGGGTCTGTGAACAAATATTACAATAATATATCATAGTATTACTTCTGACGATGCTTCGCTCTTCTTTCTGAACAGCGACCGATGAGACGATGACTGTCGTATTGATGCCTCCGCGAAAATTGGGGAAGTTTGTTTTGAGCAAACAACCAAGAATTGATCGTTCAATCTTCAACTGCATTGGCAGCTAATAAATTTACTAAATGTCAGGATCACTTGAGACTTAATAGCAGTTATATGTCTATAACCGTACCTCAGGATAAAACACCGTGTCAGCGTAGAATAATGCGTAGTAATAAGCTGGTCAGCTCCTCTAGCTTTGATTTACCAAAATAGGATCGTGCACAGCAACAGACACCTAGTGCTGAAACTAGCATTCAGCAAACTACACAACAACCACACCTGCCAATGGAACTAGGAACTGATTTAGATACCAGTACCCTTGTAAATAAAGCCTCATCGAAAGATGTTAAAATGACTAGAACTTCTGCAAGTTGTTCTAAGAAATTTCCCCCAAACGTAGTAACCTCACCACGATGAACAAATTCCGCAGGGTTGAGACTAATGATGGGGAGGAATACTTTGTATTCAATAAGCCTGCTGAGACTAAGAATGTCAACAAACCATCACTTGTTACAAAAAACTCCTCTCGAAACATAAGTATATCTGGAGGTGTTCCGCATGCTCCACCTTATAGAAAGTCAGGCTCCAAGACTCCTAAAGTCTTGCAGCCAAAGCACCTTCCCTCACAATTCCCTTTAAGTTGTAAATACAACACGAAGGATGAGTAGACCTTTTGATGCTATGCTTTTCAGCCGTCAACACAGGGACAGCCTCTACTACCCTCATACCCAGGAACACATGGTAAATTTTCCAGGTGTCCCGAATCACTGGTACGATCCATGGCACCTAGGACCACCTCATTGCACACCAATCCCGGCGTACAGACACACAGTCCGACCTCCCTTTCATTCATAAACTCTTGCGGTGCTGACGCACAAACAGATTTCGGTTATGGTGACATTTTAAGCCAGTTTGTAGTATCCCGTGACTTATTCACGATATTGCTAATTAATGCACGTTCCTTAATCAATAAGATATCTGAACTAAGGACATTATTATTAATCACCAAGCCTACTGTAGCTCTTATTACGGAATCATGGTGCACATCCTCTGTACTTGATGTGCATATAGGTATCGATGATTACACTGTACACCGTGCAAATAGAGATTGCAAGCGTGGTGCAGGATGTCTCATATATATACATAACTCATTTGTAGTCAGTAAGGTGGAAGATGAAACAATGAATAATGTACCTGACTCACTCTGGGTTGTCTTGCATGGAGATAAGTACAAACTTCGCATAGACTGTGTTTATCGAACACCAAGCTCAACAAAAGAAACTGATGCGTTATTGGCTAAATCGTTTGCATTCGCCTCCTCGTTCAGTGCTAATTACAAAATAATTGCAGGGGACTTCAATCCTCCAGAAGTCAATTGGTTAAATAGTTCCGGGTTCCAACGCTTCGACGAATTACTTGCCACTATCGACTATTATGGATGGCAACAACACGTCCAGACACATACTCGTGGTGACAACATATTGAACCTTGTATTTTGTCATGACATAATCCCACTCTCCACCTACGCTGGTAATAGATTTTCCGGTAGTGACCATAGAATGGTACTCTGCTCTCTGCCTTTCTCACTACTAAATACAGGAAACAAGCAAGATTCTTGGAGCATGATATGTCGTAGTTACAAATATACAGACTGGGGGTTAGTCCAAGAACTTATTCGACTCTGTCAATGGGATGATTGTTTTACCATTGACTTCCTGGAGACCGTAGTGTCCCTATTTTACAGGGATGTTACCCTTTGTCTAGATACTGTTGCTCAGAAGAAAATAGTGAAATTAAGCAGACATCAAGTTGAATATATTCCAAGGACATACCGCAATAAGTTAAGGAAGTTGAAGAAACAGTACTATTCCACTAAGGACATATCACTACTGCTCACAATCCACGAGTCTCTTGAATCTATAAAACCCACAAAAACTATACAAGTGTATCACTTGTTTAATCATTACCAAATTTGGATATAAATCAAGAATAAGACTCTATGCGTACACAACACAAAGCATTGATAATAGGCGTTTGGTAACAACATTGTTTCTCGACGTTAGCAAGGCCTTCGATAAAGTCCCACATATCAGACTCCTAACAAAACTCCAATCCCACAGAATAACCGGAAAGCTTCACAAATGGATAAGTTCTTTTCTCACAGAAAGTGTGCAATTAGTCAAAATCAACCACCAGCTCTCTTTCTCAAAGCCAATAACCAGTGGTGTAATACAAGGTAGTGTTCTTGGCCCTATATTATTCCTCTTATTTATAAATGACATAGTCTCTGTAATGAAGTATGGCAAGCCATACCGTTTTGCAGATGGTCTCAAGATAGTATATGATAATGGGTACGGTGATATGAGCGTCGAAAGCAAGATCCAACAAGACTTAAACTATCTAGGCGTTTGGAGCGAAAAGTGGCAACTGACTTTCAACCCAGACAAGTGCGGTATAACCCGCCTTGGACGCTGGAAACCGAAAATGTGCCTATATATGTACGGTGAGCTCCTCTCAAAACTGAACACAGTCACAGATCTCGGGATAACATTCTCAGATTTATCCTTATCCGATCATGGAAATAAGGTTGTATCTGATTGTAAACGACTTACTGGCTTTGTACTGCGTAACTTCTACACCCAAGAAGCAAGATTAACTGTATATAGGACATGTATCCGTCCCAAACTTGAATACTGTGCTCTCCCATTTAGTAACCTCAGGTCTGTAGACAGAAAAAAATCGAAAGTCTCTAGAGATTCCTCACGAAACGCATAGTAGGGTTTGACCAACAAGTGGAATATGTTGGCAGGTGTGTACGTCTGAAATTAGAGCCTCTGTGGTTAAGGAGAGTGAAGTGCAACTTATTTCTACCTTCAAAGTCATCAGGAAACATTGCTACAGTAACTCATCCACAACGTGGGAAAATATTAAATGATATCAGCTGCGAAACCACGACTACCTTGTCAAGGTGGCTGCCCACAGAAAATCCATTAGGGCAAACTTTTTCACCATAAAATATTGCACTCTTCGGAACCAACTACCACCTGAAACAAGATGTTGTGAAAACCCCGATGGGTTCAAACAGAGCCTAGAAAGACACTTTAACATGTCCACGCTAGCTCGTCTAAAAGACCACAACTGTTGGTAGAGTGGAAATTGACGGCCAGTCCAGTCTTCAGTATAAACACATACGTATATCTCGACTCTAATACTCACGCAGCGAACGTTAACTAATTAACTGATTTCTATTCTCTATAATTTTCACTAAGTTGTCTTGGTAAATGTAACACTGGAAATAAATATAGTAGCATCCACACCATTCAAAATTTTACATACCTATATAATAATATGATAATACTTATTAATCATGCATGTTCAATTCTTAAAATTAGATTGTTATTAAAATACTTAAAATGATTAAAATATTTATACATCAAATGTTCTCTTGCTTTACCACGCTCGTTTCCCTTATAACACTCAATTATTGAGCATAGTGTATTACTTGATATACGAATTATATTACTGATTATACTCTTATCATATATGGTTTGATTTACTCTACGGCTCCCTGTAGACTAACTGCCATTCTTCAGTTTACACACACTGCAGTATTGCTAACCAAATGCCAAAATTTTGTTGGTTCTGTGTTAATATCTTTTTATAATATATCTAGACACGTTACTTTGCAATGTCAGATGTTTACTATATATTAGTACACTAAGTCCTGCCAACCGACCTCACCTTCAGTTCATACTACCTACATTGAACCCTAACTATAGTGTTCTGCTGAATCTTGCTCCACTATTCACAAAACCTATTCTTTTTATTCTTTAAGGTTCTAACTTCTTGTAAAGTAGTCTGTTCATTAGGATGCATGCACACATATATAATATGTTTATACAGATGTACGTGGAGATCTATTGGAAGCACTCATTAAGAAAGCTAGGGAGATGGAATATGGGGTACGAACATGTCTGGTACCAAGCAATATATTTGCGGTAGCCATAATAATCATAGTCTCAGAGCCTAACATCAAGAAAGGAGGGAGGGTGGCGCTAGCTGATCAGTAGATATGATGGTGGTCACTAAGGTGAATCACACCATTCTGCAGGAAGAGCAATATGCAATTTGAAGGCTCGAGATATTTCTGATTTTTATGAGGGCTTATATCTTTATCTTGAGAAAGATAATAATGAACGCCTTGACAGATCATGCTTCTACCTTTAAATATATACCATTCGCTCAGCCTATTGTTGAGATGTGACCACGCGGGATCTGCACAGATTTATGGGGCATCTTATAAATTAACTTGCTATCAATTGTCCCATCTTCGAATACCACTTCACAACGTCTTACCTCATTTATTTTCCAATAACTTCTTTACTTGATCCTCATTATATTTCATTAAACCTAACATTCTATAGCTCTTTATGAATTTGATTCGACTTATTCTATTGCTAATCTCTGTAGGGTACGGTTGTGCACCAAATAGACAAAAAGGAATGAATTAAAAACAACTGGCTTGAAAATAATTGTATTAGAGCCAAAAGTGGATATCACG